CTTCTTCTTCTTCTTCTTCTTCTTCTTCTTCTTCTTCTTCTTCTTCTTCTTCTTTTTCGAGACAGGGTTTCTCTGTATAGTCCTGGCTGTCCTGGAACTCACTCTGTAGACCAGGCTGGCCTCGAACTCAGAAATCCGCCTGCCTTTGCCTCCCAAGTGCTGGGATTAAAGGCTTGTGCTACCACCGCCCGGCGAAGTCTAGATAGACTGAGGCCCCAGCGAGATATCAATCATGCTGCTTCTAATTATCATTGAGTCGTTAACCTTGGCAGGGAGAACATTTTACACACACACACACACACACACACACACACACGCATGCGCGCCTGCGCCTCACACCCAGGAACCGTCAACACTCCTGCAGACCAACACCCTCCTGGCTCTGTTTCTGGAGTGGGACCGTGTCCCACCTCTCTTCCATGACCACGCAGGACCCGGCACCACATCACCCTACTGGCGGACTTTTCCTGTGTGGCTTTTCACAAAGGCTTCTGGGAAAAGCACTAGTCAGAATTCCTTTTCTCAGGCCCACCTTACCCACCTGCAATATTTGATTCCTCCCCATTTGTCAAACTCCTATTAATTCTTCAAACCCCAGCTATAAAGTTCCTCCTCTAGGAAGCACTCCCTACCTGTCTCTGAGTCACAGTGACAGAGTAATCACCCCTCTGCTCTCTTTGGCTCCTTGGCTTGCTGTATGTGGGTCGAGTTGCGTCTTCCCCAGTCAGGGTAGGAACAGGGCACACATCCTTCAACCCGAATTGTTCCGCCCCTAGAGGTGCAGATTTCCCGTTTATCCATCGTTTTCGCGTCTCTGGGAAGCTTCGCCAGCGTCCTCCTTGTGGGCAGCCTCGGATACATTGGCTTAAACAGGTGACTCTCGCCTTACCTCTCCTGCCTTGTCTGTTAGAGCAGTATTGAGAACACTCACGACCCCAAAGCATAGATCTGTCCTGGTGTAGACGAGGAAACCAAGACACAGAGGGTCCAGAACCGGATGTGCGCTGTGGGCAGAGATGCTGCTGATGTTGAGTGTGCGGGACTCTCCTCTGGCCCACATCACACCCTTCACAACACAGCGGCTCAAGGAAGCCTTAGGAACACCGTCTCTGATCTGCCGCCTTTTGTTCCTCAGGGCCGCCTGGCACTTGTGCCCACCCCTGCCTACACCCTGCGGCAGCGCTGCTGTGGAGTTCTCCAGCAGCCAGGGCAAGCAGGTAAATGTTCCTTCGCGGCTTCCCACTCTTGTTGGGTATGTCCTGAGGTCAATGGGTATGCTCCAGCACAGCTTGCCCAAACTGAAGGGCAACTGGAAGAGCCAACAGGCCGGAGAATTCTGGAAGTCATTTTAGAATCAGAATTTAACGTGGCTTCAACCGAAAGGGAATGTAAAAAACAAACTCAAAGCGACAGGCTTCAGGCATGGCTGGATCCAGGGGGCAGGATCTGTTTCTGTGCTGTAGCTCTCCTTGGGGGCCTCACCCCTGGCTATTTGGGAAGACTTAGAAAAAGGTCTCTTGAGAATGAACGCGCTCCTCGAGGCCACTGGGGGAGGGATTTTAGAGTTTTTCCAGCTACATTGTATCGTGGCTCCGCCCACCAAGCCTTGGTCCCACCCAATGACATAGCTCTTCCCATTGTTCTGGCTCCTCCCAAGTCCTGGAGGCATCCAATTACATAGCTCCTCCCACAGCCCTAGCCCTGCCCTTGTCTCTTTATTCAGTTCTGGTCCCGCCCATGTCCTAGCCTGTCACTGAGTTCTGCTCCTGTCCCTTCCCCTTCACTCATTTCTGGCCCCGCCCACACATCCTGTCCCCCACTTTGTCCTGCTATTCCCCACCCCACCCCTCCTTAATTAGTCCTGGCCCCGCCCCTATCCTGCCCCTTCACTCAGTCCTGGGCCCGCCCCACACTTTACTCAGCCCCGCCCCTCTCGTGCACTGGCTCTGCCCCCCCTCTTTCTAGGCTTGGCAGTGGCGCAACCCTGAGGACTTCCCGGAGGTTTTGTACCCACGAGACGTGCTCGTGGTGGAGATGCCCGAGGACGGAGGCGACGGGATAGAGTCGCTCCAGGCCACCCCTGAGCGTGCCCTGGACGCAAGGAGGCCCTTGGAGACTGAGAAGCAGGTGCAGGGACTCTCAGAGGCCAGGCGCCTGGGCCTGGCTAGGGAGGACTGTCTCCGTGATGACTTGGCCCACGCGACACTCCCGCTGCTACTGGGAGATGTGACCCAGGGAGCCTCTGTACTTGACGGTCTTTGGAAGACTCTTAAGACCGTGGAGCCGGGACCGCCCACTTTGGGGCAAGAGGCCTGACTGTTCTATCTCGAGCCTGCTCCCTCCTCACGAGCCTCTAAACCGCAACAGCTGCTCACAATGGCTGTCCTGTTTTATAGATGTGACTCTTGAGGCCCGGAGAAGGTGAATGTCTCACCTGAGGTGACACAGCGTTGGCAGGACGCAGACCCAGGCCGTTCTCTCCGCGCTGGCGCTGTAGCCCCCCTCTTCCCCTCCCACCCACTCCCTCCCCTTCAGCCCCTATAGCCACAGCCTGTGAGGGGAACACAGCAACCACCAAGAGCGGGAAAGTGCTTCCTTCATGCAGCGCTGCTTGGTATCCTCAGGGCAAGGCTGGATCCTATCACTGGTTTGTTTATGTTGGTGGCTCCTTCCAGCCTGAGGGGACATGATCACAGGCTTAGTTTGCCTCCAGCATCCTGGGCTGGAGTCTAACCCCAGGAGTACTAGACAGGATGAGTCTAGAGCGTCGTAAGTTAGGTCACCTAAAAAGCAGGGCCGAGATATCCAAGGGAAGGTTATACATCTGGACTCAGTTTCCCCATTGGAACATTGGGCACTTAATAAACGGGCCGTCCCAGGGACTGACAAACTGAAGCTGGCTGTCTGGTGCACGTCTGTTACCCCAGCACCCAGGAGGCAGCTGCAGAAAGATGGGACTGGGGCTGCATAGCTAGTCCGAGGTAGCCTGGGCTACATGAGACCCTGTCTGGAGGACAGTGTGGACAGTCACTCAGAACTCCGAGATAAGACCTGCGTAGTAGAGACAGTTGAAGCGAGAGGCCTCAGCGTCCTTGGGTCTCCCCAGCCCCTTTCCCGTGTGCCCGCCTGTCAAGAGCACCCTGAGTGTCCCAGCGCTGCAGCCCTGGTAAACGCGCGTCCGTAACGTCTCACTAGGTGGCCACTAGGAGGCAGCAGCGACGCGTGTCGCCTCCGTCCACCCTGCACAGGGGGGTCAAATCGGACTTTTCCAGTTTGAACTACCCAAGGTTTGAGAACCCGACTTTTCCAGTTTGAACTACCCAAGGTTTGAGAACCCTTTTATAACCAGAGTATGAGGGCTAGGCCTCCCCGACCTAGGACCTGTTTTACCACGGAAGCTTCTAGCTGGGGAAGGAGCCATGGTCTCGGGTCAAGCCACACCGTGCTTACACAGATAGTTCGGTTATGGTAGCCCCAGTCTCCAGTGCTGGCGTATGTTGGGGTTCCTCCGGGGACCCTGGGAGGCTGAAGCAGAGGACGCTCCTGCGCTTGGGAGAATTTGCCAACACAGCTGGAGTCTGCCTGGACTCGGGAAGCAGGCAAGACCAGACCTGGGGCTGGAGAGTCGGTCACCTGCATTCAGCCACGTGTGCTGGACAAAACTTTCCGTCCAGATCCTTTTTCATGAAATATATTTTGTGTCCACCAGGCTCCATCTGGCTTCTGGCTAAGGGAAAGATGGATAAGTCGGGGACAGAATGACAGCCTAGGATCCTCCCCCTCCTCCGTGTCTGGGGGAGTGGCTCGGGGGCTAAGTGACAGCCTAGGATTCCCCACAAGGGGCTAAGGCTCAGAGAGTCTAGGATTCCCGGCGAGGAACTGGTGCCGTGGCTCAGAGTCAGGCTGCTTAGGAGTCCCAAAAGGGGCTGGGGGCGTGGCTCCAGGCTGGGATGATCATCGTAATGCTAACCGCCTTGATTTGACCATCGCCAGTGCAAAACAAAGTCCTTAAGTGTTCCAGACATGCTGCGTGCTCAGCCCGCGTGGCATGGGACGTCCACAGGCTGCTGCAGGCAAACACGGATCCAGCCATCATCACACCCACACTTTAACAAACCGGAACCCTGATGAGGGGGCTGAAAGGGGCACAGGGATGAAGGGCGGGGAGATTCTGGGGGAGCGGCGGGGACAGCCAAGTGAAGGGACTGAGGTAGCAGAATAAACTCCATTTTGTTTTTGTTTTTTGTTTTTTGTTTTTGTTTTGGTTTTGGTTTGGTTTTTCAAGACAGGTTTTCTCTGTGTAGCCTTGGCTGTCCTGGAACTCACTCTGTAGACCAGGCTAGCCTCGAACTCTCGAACTCAGAAATCCGCCTGCCTCTGCTTCCCAAGTGCTGGGATTAAAGGCATGCGCCACCACCGCCCCGCTTCCATTTTGTTCTTAAGACTCCGTTCTAAGTTAACATGCCCTCAGAGAAGCATGGCCCCCTCCCTTGAGGTCTGAGAAAAATCACAAGCTGTCCTTGGCCGTTGTACTATTTTGTCTTTTTTTTTTTTTTTTCAGAGCTGAGGACCGAACCCAGGGCCTTGCGCTTGCTAGGCAAGCGCTCTACCACTGAGCTAAATCCCCAACCCCTTGTCCTTGGCCGTTGTAAAATGGATGCAGCAGCTGCAGCTGATAACAACAGAGTGGACTTAAAACATAAGTCTTTCCCAGATCAACGTGCTCCTTTTTGATGTATGCTTCCTCTGTTAGCCTGCCGTCTAAGCTCGGCCCCACAGTTACCTGGCAACAGCCAGGTAGGCCTGACACTATAAAAGGGGCTGCTTGGCCCCTCACTCTCTTGGTCTCTTGCCTTTTGCTCCCTCTCTGTCCCCTCGCCCCACCCCCCCCCTCCCCATTCCCTTCCCCCCTCTCCATATGCTCATGGCCGACCTCTGCTCCTCTGCTTCTCTTCTCTTCTCTCTCTCTCTCTCTCTCTGCCTCTACTACCCTCTTAACTCCCCTCCCCATGCCCTGAGTAAACTATTCTACACTATACCATCGTGCGGCTGGTCCCTCAGGGGGAAGGGATGCCTTGGCATGGGCCTGCTGAGATATCCCCATCCCTATACTCACCACACCTCCATAGAACATATCCCCTCTCCTCTCTTTATCTTTTTATAAACACATCACCTTCCTAGTGCTTTAACCAGGTGCTGTAAACCAATTAGCTTAAAGACCACCATTCCTTTACCCTCTCACGGAATGCCCAGGCTTGGAAACCCCTGCTTGCTGTTTTTCCCTTTTTAAACCCCTTTCACTCAGACCTGGGGGTCGCTCTCCTTCCTGTGCCATCAGGAAGGTTGGTGGCCCAAGCTTGAATAAAGACTCTCCTGTGCTTACACCGGCATTGTGATTCCTGGTGGTCTCTGTGGGTTTTACAATCAGGGCACAACACAAGAACAGCCAGTGCAAAGGTCCTGAGGAGGCCAAATAAAGTTTCTGAGTGACAGGCTGCTGCCAGCAGGCCAGGACCTTTTAGTTTTTTCTCTCCTGGTGGCCTGGAAAGAAGAGCTTGTGACTTCCCGGCGAGCTGCTCAGGGCCCTCCAGCTGCAGCCCATGCTACATCAGAATTCACCATGCCCCTGCCTCAGCCTCCAGAGTGCTGGGATGACTGCTGAGGGCTAACAGGCCCAGTCCCTCCCTGGCCCTCTCCTCATCCAGCTTACTGATTTCTGTCTATCAGTGGCCTTGTGTGGAGGAACATGGGCTACCTCAGTTTCCTTCCCCAGGTACCTCCCCACTGGATGCTTCCAGCCAGTGTGGAATATGCCAGATTGTCACAGGCTCTAGGGAACATGTTGTGCATTTGGTGACCTGCACAGAGCAGCCCCCGGGGATCACCGGGGTCACCGTCTGAGCCAGGCACCCAACGTTTTGCCAGTAATAGCCTCCTGGCTCTGCCCGTCACTGTTTGATTTTAAATCACACTGTGCTCACACACCATGAGTTGCCCTCCACACCCCCTTTTTCTTCAGGTTGCCCTTTTAAAGAGCACAATTCGGTGACATTTGGATTCACTTGGTGTGCATACAGCACTTCTGACTAATTCCAGAACATTCCATGCTAAATGCCAAAGTGTCTGTACCCATGAGCTGCTTCTGAATCCCTGGGCACACTTTCACGGCCCCTGAGCCTGATCCGGACAGCAGGTCACAAGTGTCACTCACCAGAGTCTGGGCTGACATTGTCAATCACATACATTGTAGTTTTGAAGTTTTTAACACGTGTTAATGCCTCTTTCCTTTTCATAGCTGAGTACTATTCCACTGCGTGCCTAGAAAACACTTTGTTTCTCTGCTCATATATGTTAATGAGGGCTCGGGTGGCTCTGCGTTCCTGGCTGCTGCGGATCCTGCCGCTCCCGCCTGCAGTTGTGGGGAGAACGATTCTGTCCTCTCCTCCTTCCTTTAGTTCATTCTCCTCTCTGCGCCCCTCTCCTTCCAGCACTTGCTTTTCTCTCCTCTCCCTCCTTTTCTTGCTGAAGATGGAACCCAGGATTTTGTTTCACCAGAAGCAGAAACCCACCCCTGAGTCACGCCTCCAGCCCCTCACTGGAAGATTCTAGGCAGGAGTTGAGATGACAGACTGTCCCTTTGCACAGGTCGCTCTCTGGGCCACAGCCCTCGCCCCTGTCCCGCAGCTCGCCTCTCTGCCATCGGAGCCTCCAGAGCCATCAAACTTGAATCTCAGCAGCCATGTCAGGGCTTCGGGAACCTCCCGTAGCCCACAGCTGAGATCTCAGAGCCGCCGTCCCCAGCACCATGTGTGGTGGCCCAGGCACTGAATAAAACAGGGAGTGAGGGAGGAGGCCGACTGGCCTGCTCCCCACTGAGGTTTCCGTGTAGGTCATTGCTCAGTCCTGCCCTGGCTGGCTGGGATCTGCTCTGGCCGTTGTCCCTGCACTGGGCTGGCCCAGCACTGGACCCTTCCTGTGAAAGGAAGACAGTGACTTCCCTTCTCAGAGCCAGGTGCTTTCCAGCTGGGGCCTCAAGGAAGAGGTCATATAGTCAGTCAACATGCATCTCAGAGAGAGGGCTCAGGTTGCTTATGGATTCTCTCAGCCTTGGCCTTTGCTTCCTACACCATCGACCCACATAACTATGGTCCCTTCTCCAGCTCTGATGACTGCTCCCTGGGACTGACCCCGGCTCACACTGGCCTACTACTTCTGCCTTCACACTGCTCAAGGAGGGCTGAGGGCCTGAGTCACCTGAGTCACGGTGACCCCCGAGTCACCCTGATCCAGTGCAGAGCCCGTCGTGCTCCCCACCCGCATCTTCCTCAGCCTCCTAAAACTCCCCGAACAACTCAGGCATGCCCCTGCCTCAGCACTTTCTCATGGGTCTTGTTTCTGCCTGGTATCTTTAATTTCTATTAATATCCTCATGTCTCCCTGCCCCCTGCCCATCCTGGGTCTAATTCCAATGTCCTTCTCTGTCACATGTCCCCAATATATGGAATCTGAAACATTTCCACCTATGGCATATCTAGCTACTGCATACAGTTGGGGCTTAAGTAGTGCACATCTGAAGAACAGGCTGAGGTTCATCACAATCAGACAGTGGGGGGCTCTGAGGCTCAAGAGTCAAAGAGGGCTTCCTGGAGGAGGCAACTTTGGGTGAAGGCTGAATAAGTGGGAGGCCCCGGGGTAGGAGACCTGTAGGCATGACCACAGGGCAGGTGTGTGAGGTTGGGTCCCCTCCCCAAGAGCAGCAGGGGGAGCTTGTGTGGGCTTCAGAGAGTTCACAGGTGGAGAAACTGAGGCTGGGCTATTCCTGCTAATCCACCACACCTGCCACTCCCCCATGCAGCCTGCCTGGGGACTCTCTCAAGGGCGGAGACAGTGGCAGC